CTCAAAGAATAACCAATCACACACAGCCACCCAAGTGTCTCGCTCCATCCAGCCAATCATTTCCTTTCTTTGGCTCCCATGCTTCTTCTCTACATCTGCCCCAGGATCCTATTGGAAACATGCTCATAACCACTTCCGGTTTGGTGCTACCCAAGTCAAAGGGATTTTTGCTTATATGAATTCTTCACAATCCACCACCGAATCCCTTCTTTCACTGTTGTTATGGGGAGGCGGGGGAGCAGTTGTTTAGGGCTTTGAATGGGTGTGGGCCATATCTGACTGTGCTCAGGGCTTACTCTTGGCCCTATGTTCAGGAATCCCCTTTGATGGGGGCTCAGAGGACCATATATGGTGTCAGAGATTGAACCAGAGTCAGTCACATGCAATACATATGCTTTAACCCCTGTACATTCTGTCCAGCCCTGAACTCTTGAGATCATTTTGATATGCCCCAGTTTATCTTTTAAGAGTAGCCACTAAGTCATGTGTGGCTTTAAAGTATTTGAATATGGCTAACTTGGATAACCAAGAAGTTGAATTCTAGTGTATTAATTTTAAGTAATTTGAATTTCAATAACCAGACTATTCAGCTCTGGAATACTGAATACTCTGGAGGGTTGATTGCTGGTCCCACATTTCCATAATGATTTGCCTACACACTCTGTTGTATTAGTGAATCATAATTGTCTTTTCAATACATTTTGTCCACCTCACTAGACTGTAACCTTTTATTCATCCTGTGATGCTTTCTTGCACATGGTCCTGCCGGGCTCTTGGGACTGGATGTGACATAATTCATGTTCCTAAATCAGTGGACATGGAATCTCCTTTATCAAAAAAAAATCTCGTTATTGAGCTGAAAGATAGCTCAATGGACTGAATCCAGTTTTAATCTCCATCATGTGGTTCCCAAGCATTGAGCCAGGAGAAGTTCCTGATCACCACCAGTTGTGGGTTCACCTCCATTCCAACTTCCAAAAAAGCCCCCTTTTTTGCTATGATGTAGTTCTACCCTTTATAATTATTTTAAACAGGTGACTATTTTGGGTTCCAAAGCTTCAAATATCCCAAACTGCTCAACATTTTTTGTGGCTGGGGATGGAACCCTGAACTTCATGTATGCCACACATGTGCTCAGCATCAAGTTATTGTCCTCACTCAGGGTCTAAACATACCTTCCTCCCTCCCTCCCTCCCTCCCTCCCTCCCTTCCTTCCTTCCTTCCTTCCTTCCTTCCTTCCTTCCTTCGTTTCTTCCTTCCTCCCTTCCTTTCTTCCTTCCTCCCTACTTTCTGTCCGTTCTTCCTTCCTTCCTTTCTTCCTACCTCTCTTTTTCACTCTTTCTCTCCTTCTCTCTTTCTTTTTGTTTTCTGGGCCACACTTGGCGGAGCTCAGGGGACCATCTGTGGTGTGAGGGTCCAACTATATTCAGCTGTTTTTCAGGATGTAACAAATGGTTCCATTGTTCAGGGCTTGAGTGTTTGCTGAGCTTGCAGCTGGCTCAACTCTCCAGTTCTTTCTCTGATCTATCAGTCTTTCTTGTTGGGACACTTGAGTTATTCCAAGGATATCTGTCTTCTCTCTTCACCATTCTATATCTGCTTGTGTACTGTGAGCATTCTCAGATTCCTGGTCTCCATCAGCTTGCCAATTATACATTTTTTGGGGGAGTGGGGAATGCTGAACCACAACCAGGAGTGACTCCCGGGTAGCGCAAGGGAGACTATAAGTAGTGCCAGGGATTGAATCAGAGCATTGCAAGGCAAGCGCCCTGCCCCCTGTACTCTCTTTCTGACATTGTCAGTAGCACTGTCTGTAACTCTGTCCTCTTGTTGTTTATCAGTTTGCTCAAGCGGGCACTAGTAACATCTCCATTGTGAGACTTGTTGTTATTGTTCTTGGCGTATCAAATACATCACAGGGAGCTTGCCATGCTCTGCCTTGTGGGCGGGATACTCTCGGTAGCTTGCTGGGCTCTCCTAGAGGGACGAAAGAATTGAACCCAGGGCAGTCACATGCAAGGCAAACACCCTACCCACTATGCAGCTGGAGCTGGATCTTGTCAGTATACTTTGAAAAGAAATGTAGGCAGTGAACTACTCTAAGAGAGTCACTGTGACATGACCTACAGCATGTAGGTTTACAATGAGGAATGACCAGAGCAATAGTCCAATGAATAGGGTGCTTGCATGAAGCCCACCCAGGTTTGATCCCCAGAATCCCATATGGTCCCCAAGCACCTCCAGGAGTGATCCCTAAGCACAGAGCCAGGAATAAGCCCTGATCACCACTTAGTGTGCACTCCTCAAAACAAAAAGCGATGGGTCTTTAGCTGCTCTCTACTAAGAATTTATACACTGATCAGGGGAACATTGTAACATATCATGTGGATTATTATGCTATTATCCTCATGTCTAAACATTCCAAGAGATTAAGAGATTTTAAGTTTCTATAGAAACTCAAAGAATGACGTTGTTCCCATTAGTTGGATAAGAACAAAATTCAAGGAGGAAGTTAAGCATCAAATGAGTTTTAAATGATCTTTAGAAATTTTTGCAATAATCAGTGTGGAGGTTTGGGGGTGGACTGGAGAGAGGGCGGGAGACAGGACACTTGGGCTGCCATGGCCTGGCCGCTGACACCACAGATGAGCCCCTGTGCACCATTCTTGAGCAAAGAGCCAGGCATAGTCCCTGAATACCTCATGTATGCCCAAGCCTCCCTCCCCCCAAATTACCAAGTGGGCATCAAGGCAGGCCACCTGGAGGAAATGGCATGTATAGAGGCCTGGGGACTTACCTGGAAACCGGAAAATATAAGCTTGCTTAGAAGAGAGCGAAAATCAAGAGGGTCTAGCAGGAGGGGTCCAATTCAGAGCTAGTTCTGGAAGCCGGGGCCTCACTGTGGAAGGCCTGGAGTGGGTGCCCGAGGACTCGACGGATATTAGGCGATGTGTATTTAGGCAGCTTCTCAAACTGTTCTCCCCTCGGGGTCCCAGTTTACTCTCTCTGCAAAGGTTGTATCCCTCGGTGAGGAGAGCTCTCTCGTCAGTTTGAGCTGCCTGCTGCAGAGGGAGGCCTGCCACCTGCCAACCACCTTGCAAGTGAGGCCTCGGTTTGGTTCACCTTGTTCTCTCGGTCTGTGGCTCTGTGGGTACACCCCAAGGACCCTGTCATTTCTCATCAATGCCAGAGACCAGGGGGAGATTTTAGCAGTCAATTGGATCTTGGTTCAAAACGACTGAGAGAGGAGTTGGGGGGCGCGGTGGGCAAGTCTTGGCTCAGACCATACATGATGCCAGGATTAGATGTAAACAAGGCAAGTGCTATTAGCTCTGAACTGTCTCTCCAGCCCTTGAGTTGAATCATACATGATTTTTTAAAAATTTTTATTAGTGAAACACCATGAGGTACAGTTGTAGACTTAAAAGTTTTTGTGCTTGGGTTTCAGTTATCCAATGATCGAGTACCCATCCCTCCACCAGTGCCCATTCTCCACCACCAATGGTCCCAGTATCCCTCCCACCCCCGCTCACCCCCATCTCGCCCTCCCTCTGTGGCAGAGCATTCCCTTTTGTTCCCTCTCTCCTTTTGGGTGCTGTGGTTTGCAAAAGAGGCATTGAGTGACAATCATGTTCAGTCTATAGTCTACCTTCAGAATGCAACTCCCATCCTGGGAGGATACTCCCATCACCCTTTACTTGGTGCTCCCTTCTCTATCTGAGCTGCCTTTTCCCCTAGCATGTGCGGCTGGCCTCCAAGCCATGGAGTGAACCTCCTGGTACTTATCTCGGCTATTCTTGGGTGTTAGTTTCCTATTTTGTTACTTTATATTCCTCAGATGAATGCAGTCTTTCTCTGTCTGTCCCTCTCTTTCTGACTCATTTCATTTAGCATACTTTCCATGTAGTATGTAAATTTCATGACTTCATCTTTTCTAACAGCTGCATAGTACTCCATTGTGTAGATGTACCAAAGTTTCTGTAACCAGTCATCTGTTCTCGAACACTCGGGGTTTTTCCAGATTTTGGCGAATCATGCATGATTTTTGATGTTTCCCGTTCTGTGTTTACCATAATGAAACACAGATATGTAGCATTTGAGCAATGAATTTGATTTTAAAGAGTTGTCTTATTCTGTTCCTATAAAGTGAATTATTCCATCAATGTTAAGGGAAAAGGCGTTGCTATTAAAAACATGAAGTTTGGAGGTCAGAGTGATAATACAGCAGTTAGTGTGTTTGCCGTGCACACAGCCCACCTGGGTTCCATCTCTGGCACACCATATTGTCTCCCAAGCCCATACAGAGCCAGGAGTAAGTTCTGAGCACCACTGGGTGTGGGCCTAATACAAAAATAAACCAAAAAAATGTTTATTTTGGGGGGTGGAGTGATAGTATAGTGGGTAATGCGTTTGCCTTGCACGCAACCGACCCAAGTTCGATTCCCAGCATCCCATATGGTCCCTTGAGCACCACAAGGAGTAACCCCTGAGCATCGCTGGGTGTGACCCAAAAAGCAAAAAAGAAAAGAAAGCTGGAGCGATAGCACAGTGGTAGGGCATTTGCCTTGCACACAGCCAGCCCAGCCAAGCCGGGTTCGATTCCTCTGTCCCTCTCAGAGAGCCTGGCAAGCTACCGAGACGTAACAACAAGTCTCAAAATGGAGACGTTGCCAAATACAGTAACAACAAGTACCAAAATGGAGACATTACTGAGCCCGCTCCAGCAAATCGATGAACAACGGGAGGACAGTGAGAGTGACAGTGACTTTTTTATGGAATCACCATGAATTACAAAATCACAAAGATATTTATGGTTGAGTTTCAAGCATACAGTGTTCCAAAACCAATCCCTTGTTCCACTGTCCCCAGTGTCCCTCCTGCCTGCCAGCCTGCCTCTATGACAGACTCATTTCCCCTCCACGATTGTCACTTCTGAGCCACGTTTTGACTACTGAAGAAGGTAAGCACAGGCCTCAATTTCCCACTTTTTCTTGTTGCAGGAAGAGAAGTTAACCTTCCGGAGACCGCAGGGACACGCTCCACGCCAGGTGAGTTCCCGCCTGTTCTCTCCGAGGCTTGGAGAGGCAGGGCTACGGCGCTTTCTCCTAGTTTCCTCCTGCCCTGGGTTCCTGCAGCTGCCATTACCTAAAACTTGAAAGTCGGCAGACAGAGCAGTCCCCGAAGGCTTTTTTCTTTCTGGCTTCTCCTGGTCGGAATTGGATTCTGTAATTTCCTTTTCACGTTTGTTGTTTGGGAACCAGTTTGCAGGCATGCGAGATGGAGCCTGACCCGAGCAAGCCAACGGAAAGATGTTTTCAGAGTAGCTGTCCCCCGAGGCGGGCTGAGGTTTCTCCAGTAAAGGCCGGCCCTCCAAAACTGAGATTTTTCCAAGAACCAGTAGCTTCAGTTTCTCCTGGGAACCTGAGGGGGGAAGCTCAGGTACTTGGGCCGCTCCCCAGGCTACTCAGTCAGAAATCTGGAGGGATGCCCAGGCCTGCAGGACATCCTGGTGGACGGCAGTGGGAGCCAGGGCTAGAATCCAGACCTGCCCCCCCTTACCTTCCTGCCGCCTCCCCCAAACTCTCCCCCCCCGCCCACACACACACACACACACACACACACACACACACACACACACCAGCGTGGTGCATGACCTGAGCTCACTTCCACACATACGCCCACGTGGTCCCTGAATGCTCACTTCCACGCACACTCCCGCATGGCCCCTGATCTGAGCTCACTTCTGTGCACACTCCTGCGTGGCTCCTGATCTGAACTCATTTCCACACACACTCCCACGTGACCCCTGATCTGAGCTCATTTCCATGTACACTCCCACGTGACCCCTGATCTGAACTCACTTCCACGTACACTCCCGTGTGGCCCCTGGCCCTCTGTCAGTCATGCTCCCTGGGAACACCCCCTCCCCCCCCCTCGCTCCTCCCTCCCTCATGATGCTGATCAGAGATGCGAGTTTCATTCTTGCTCCCCTCCGTGGATTCCATACAGCTAAACTCTCTCCTCTGTGTGGGACTGACCTTCCTTGAGACTCATGTCATTGTCTTGTCTGTCCTCTCCCGAGGGGCCCTCACATCTGGCTCTGCTGATCGTGGCTGGTCCGTGTCTTCCTGGAGTGACGCTCCGCACTCCAGAGTTATTCTTTCTTCCCCTGCATTTCAGCCTCTCCTCGACCACATTCCGGTCCAGGCCATTAACAATGAACTTGTCCAAACTCCGTTTCTAGCTTTCCAAATGTTTCATATGCAAGGAATCCAGGGAACAGACTTTTGATTATATTTTTTCTGTTTCTTTTTTGCACCCAGTGATGTACAGGGGTTACTCCTGGCTCTGCACTCAGGAATTACTCCTGGCAGTGCTCAGGAGACCACATGGGATGCTGGGAATCAAACTGGGTTGGCTTTGTGCAAGGCAAACGCCCTACCTGCTGTGCTATCACTCCAGCCCACTTGACTTTCCTTTTAACCTCATTAGACCTCCAGCCCCCAAGACTAGCTCTCCCCATTCTCCAGACCCTGCCTTCCCCACAGAGCACAATTGGCCGATAGCCCGGGCCCCTTTGCAGTCTCCAGCCCCACGTACTTCTGCTTTAAGGCACCTTATTGAACAGATGGCCTGTCCCTTCACAGTGCTGTGACATGCTCCTGAACGAATTTGCTCTCCCCAGCAGATCCCAGCCTTCTGGCTGCAGGTGTCACTTCTGCCCTGTTCTCAGGGCCCTGCTAAGTCACAGCATTGCCCACAAAAATAAAAGTCTCAAACTGGCAAGAAGGTGGCATCCAAAAGCTCACAGAATAAGCGGTGCTAGTGTCTGCTCAGAGAAAACGTGTGCCAGATCAGAGAATTATGGGTGTTCCCTCTCCACGGCCAAATCCCAAAAGGACACAGGTCTTTAAGACTTAAGTTCCATGAGTAGATGGATTCAGAGGAGCAGAGTGCATGGGCAGAGAGGGGAGAGGGCACGTGTGGGCATAGAGCTTAACTCTGGGCATCCAGGGAGCCCGGGGCCATTGAATACGTTTGTCCTAATGTCTGGATTTGGGAAAAGCATTGGGCATCTCTGATGGGCTTCAGGAGATGGGAGAGCCCACGATTCTCTCCAGTGCCCGAGAGCCCCCATGGCCAAGGTGTCAGACACTCCCACGCGGCACAGATGCGAGAGGATGCTACAGTCATCCTGTGCAGGAAGGCGGTGCTCGTCAAGGCGATGGCTGGGTGGGGAAAAAAAAGACAATGGTGATGAGGCATGGCTCCTCCTCCTCCCTGGGCCTGAGACTTCTGCCAGCACCCCATCTGCTCTCCAGCACCCACAAGGCTTTTCTATTCCCCCCTTGGCTGCTTGGGTGCTCCCCGCCTTAGGGAATGTTTGATATGACAAGTCAGTCAATGCCGATTTCCTGGGCAGAGGGTTGGGGACACCCAGCGCTGTGCTCGGAGGTCATTGCCGGCAGTGCTTGGGGACCGTGCAGTGCCAAGAGATCCAACTCAGGCCTCCTGCCAGCACTGCAGGTGTTGCAGCTCATGTGCTGTTCCTCCAGCCCGGCGGGCAGCAGATCCAAGTCATTTCAGGCAGTGCTCATTTGTCACTGGTAGCTTGTAGCACTGTCCTCCCGTTGTTTGTTGATTTGCTCAAGCGGGCCCAGTAACATCTCCATTGTGAGAGTTATCACTGTGTTTAGCATATCAAATACATCACGAGGCTTTGCCGTGTGGGCGAGATACTCTCACTAGCTTGCCGGGCTGTCCGGGCTGTCCGAGAGGGGCAGAGAACTCAAACCACAGTCGGCTGGGCTGGCTGCATGCAAGGCAAATGCCCTATCACTGTGCTACTGGGCCGTTAGTCACAGTATTTTATAGTCACCACAAATACTCTGCATACGGAAACTCAGGTCTGCTCCCTGATCAGGGCTCTGGGGGACACTAATGGAGGAGCTCAGAGGACCCCAGGGAGCCAGGGGTAGAATTCAGGCCTCCTATTTGACAAGGATGTGCTCTAGACCATCTCTTTGAAAGAAAGACTTGGGGTTCTTATTTTTTTAACACAGCCGGGGTGGCCCCCAGGCTCATACTCACTAGGTATTTGCTCTATGACTGAGCCACATTCCTGGCCCCAGCCTCCGTTTATTGCCAACACACTTCGCCAAGTCCATCCCAGGCTAAGGCTACGTGATGCTCGTAAAAATCCTGGGGAGGAAAAACTTCCTGTTTTCCCCAGGCAAACTGGGCAGAACTGAAGGTGGCTTGTCTGGGTCAGCTCCTGCAGCATCTCCTTCCACCTTGGGTCCAGAGCCCGCTCCTCCCCTCTGGGATCAGACTTTCCTCCATGCCCTGCTCTGTCTTTCCCGTTTATCCCTCTTCCCCACCCCTATTCCATCGTTATGCAATAGAACTGCCTCACACTTGCTTGTGGTCCTTGCACACGTGCTCACCTGGGTTGGCACACTTGGCTGCAGTGCTCACAAGTTGCTGTGCTCGCCCAGGTTTGCACGCCATGGCTGCAGAGTTGTTTGCACACATTTGGTTGCAGTACCCCAGAGAAGGTGCATTTGCCTGTGTGCCACCAATCCCAAATGGCTTAGCCCATCCATGTGGGCAGTGCTGCGTGCTGAGCTCAGGGTACCCCGACTTGCAGCTGGCACCTTCGCACAGAAACTTCCAGGGCCTCCTGGACTGAATTCTTCAGGCCTTCCTCCCTTTCTGCCCCACCCCCTTTAGGATTCCTTCAGGGTCTTTGACTAAGTCCTTCTGGGAATGGGACACACAAGTGACCACAGTCTCATAGTGGCAGCAGGAGTGTGGGGTGTTGTTTGGCAGATCCCTGCACGGAGCAGTGCTTGGGGTTTCTCTGCACCTAGGGTCAGCCGCGTCTCCCCACCTAGCAAGCTGAGCTGAGATCTGGGAGCTGGTCCTGTGACCAGAGTACTGCAGAGTTCCCCGGAGGAAGCCCACAGCATCCTCCTGAAGAAGACCCAGGACACGTTTATGTTCAGTGAAAACAAATCATTCTCATTTCAGGGTGCTCAAGTCTTCTCAGGGCCAGACAGAAAGCATGGGGGCAGAGACGGTGGGTGAGTTGCACTTCCCCCTAAGTAGCTGACCCCAATTCGATCCCCAGCACATCCCATGAGCACTGCCAAGAATGGTCCATGAGCACAAAGCTAGGAGTAGCCCTTGAGTAGCTGCTGGGGGTAGCCCCCAAACCCCACAACAAAATATAGCAAAATCAAAACCAGAGTGATAGAACAGCAGTTAGGGCATTTGCCTTGTGCACAGGAAACCCAGGTTCCATCCCTGGCATCCCATATGGTCCCCCACCACAGCCAGGAGTAACTCTTGAGCGCAGAGCCAGGAGTAACTCCCGAGTATTGCCAGGTGTGACCCAAAAAGTGCATATATATATATACATATAAATATATATATGTATCACTGTCATTCCATTGTTCATCAATTTACAATTTACTCAAGTGGGTGCCAGTAACATCTCTATTCGTCCCAGCCCTGAGATTTCAGCAGCCTCTTCTTACTCATCTTTTCCCAATGATTGGAGGCTCTTTCAGGGTCAGGGGAATGAGACCTGTTTTCATTACTGGTTTTGGCATATTGAATACACCCCGGGAAGCTTGCCAGGCTCTGTCCATGTGGGCAGGATACTCTCGGTACCTTGCCGCTCTCCAAGAGGCATATATTTATATATTTCTCTCTGTGATTTGTCAACTACTGTCTGAACCCCGCAAATATGGTGTGGCAATTATGGAAAAGGGGTAGAAAGTGTTTTATAATGTCCAGAAAGCGGCCTGGAGTGTGGCAGTGGTTGGGTAGTAGTCAGCTGCTGGGGTTGCGTCCCTTGGGGCCAGGAGGGGCGCCCCGAATGAAAACAGCCTGGCGCTGTTTTTCTGAGAAGATATATACATATTTTTTATATATATATATAAAATATTTTTTTTTCTCAGAGTTTGCCCACCTGCGAGTCTCCAACAGTGCGCTTGCTTTGGTTTCCTGTGACATGGTCTATGGGTCCATCAGTGACCAG